TTCAACCATTTTATTCATCAGGCATATGGTTGGGGGAATGATATTAAAGTCTTAAAATAGTGAATTTATGACAGTTAGGAGCTTAATATTTTTTTTATAAAATCAGTTATAAATATTGATTTAAACAGTTGTAGATTTAAGAGTTTTAATTATAAATAAGATAATACTCTCCTTTGGTCTTATTTATAAGTTATTTTCAATATGTTTCACTAAACAAAAAAAAAACCTTAAATCTCATTAATTTTATTTTAAAATTTAATAAATTTTTACTTTTACCCCTAATAAATATTTTTAAATCTCATTATTAATATTTTTATTCAAAATATTTAATAAGGGCCAAAATATAAAGGGGAACATTGAGAATTGGCAAGTGTCCTACAAATAGAACTAAATTTTTTTTCTCTCTTTTCCCTATAATAAAACCATAGGAGTAATATTCTAGATATAAATTAATATTTTAATTATTATTTTAATAATTTTTGTCAAAAATTTAATTGTCATAATTTTTTATTTCAAGATTTTATTGTCATTCTCTTCTTTTTATTGTTTCATCACACCATGTTCAATTTTAATGCCCAAGTCTTTTGACAGTAGATGGTGTCTTGCATAACTCATGTAATGAAGAGGTAGATCTGTGAGTGTGACCCTATACTAAGAACCATGCTCAATCCCAAACGAAAAAAAAAAAAAAAAAGCAACCATGTTAAAATTTAATAACTCATTTGATCATGCGGGGGCGCTCAATTCCTCTTCATGTAATAAAAATGAAGAAAATTGTACATTTATTTATCAAATCTTAAAAAAATTAACTAAATACTAAATACTACTCCACCATCCCACATTACAGGGCACTTTTAAATTTTTTTTTTTTCATTTTAAAGTATAAGATACTTTAAGTAGATTAATATTTCATTAAATATATCAATTTTAATATTAACCTTTCTTTTTTTATAGTTAATTTTCATAACTTATTTTTTTAATATATTAAATGATAGGTATTTTAGGAAGTTTATATTTTTTTTTTAGAAAGATAAAATTATTAAGTTATTTAATGAGGTTTATTGGTATATAAAATTTTATCTAAAAGTGTCTTATAATTTGAAATGAAAGGAGTATATTATTTTGTTTTATGAAATAATAACTAAAATACTATTATTTTTTCATGGCTAAAAATTAAATGTTCGGGCTAAAACGTGCAAAACCGAAGTTTTCTTTTAATGTGTGTTAACTGTTTATTGGCCAAGACCAGAAGAGACTTTGACATTGTTCTGTTTTATAGCAGAGGAAATCATCCACAAAGTTTCTATTTTAACCTAAACCGCCCATTTCTTTTCCATATCTGTGTATATAACTGGGCATTCCATCACGGTCCTTCATCACCTGAAAATCGACTCAAGAAAGGTTCGGAAACGAACGAAAGATTGGTGACAATTTTGTTGGTGCGAAGGGAGGACCCCACCCCTTCCTTCCTTGGCATTCATCAAAGTCATCGTCCTCATCTTCACAATCACCAATTTTTCTTTGTGCGTGTGTGCACCATCACTCATATCTGCCCAAGGTTCGTCTTCGTTCATCCTTCCCCTCATTCGTTCTCATTTATTTCTGCAACAAATCTCGGGGTGTTTTTTGTTGGGCGTGCCGGAATCTAGAATTGCATTAATTACAACTTCCCAGATCGTTATTGAAGACTCAAATATTTTTCACTCACTCCAACAGATTTGGATTTTCAAAATTGTGGAGGTACTCGTCTGTTTTCATCTTTTTATTACCAATTCCATCTTCCAGGTGTCACACACCATCGGAATCAGCTTTGTTTCATACCATAACTGTTGGTTCAAGCTCATTTTCACCCTAGCTCGTTGCTGATCAGGCGTTGGCAAGGTGGCCCACCATTGGGTTTGGTGGGCTTTTGCTGAAACCAATGAAATTTATTACTCTCCATCTTTTAAAGGTGTTGTGAACTACTACTTCGATAAATTGCTCAGACTTTTGGCTTTTCATTAGTTTGGGTTTTCTCCCACTATTGGCTTCTATACTGATCATTCCTCCCAATTGTAATATAAATACTCAAGTTTGACCCGACTTTAAGGTTTAAGATTTCCCCCTTTTTCTAATAATAATGCTTCTCTACTTCATCACTTGTCTCTCTTTCTTCCTCTTTTTAAAGTCTCTTCATCCTCTCAAGTCATTCCCACCATGGGCGAGTGAGATCAGGCTGATTTCCCTTTTGTTTTACAAAGACCTGTCCTTAATCTCATCATATAAGTTGATCAGCCAAATTCCTTCACGGATGTGCCTAGTGAACAAGACCCCTACCACGAAAAAAGCAGAGGTTAACGTTTTTGAGGAGGACACACATGATTTGTCAGTGTTGGACTTGCCAGACCTGGTCTTGGAATGCATTCTTGAAAGGCTATCTCCTCCGGCGCTTTGTAAAATGGCAGGTGTTTGCCGTTCCTTGAGGGAGAGATGTGTAAGTGATTATTTCTGGGAAAGGCACATGAAACAGAAATGGGGTAGAGTTATCGGTCCAGCTGCTTACAGCCAGTGGCAATGTCAGATCGCTTCAAAACATGATGATGTTGTCGCTCCTAGAAAAGCCAAAGAAAGGGGGTTATTGAGGTTTCTTCCCGTTAGTCTGTGGCCTTTTTCGTGGATTAGATTATTAAAGGTTGCTTCAAACAATAGCAGCGGCAAGCAGCAGAGTTCCTTGCCTACTCATTCAGTCATGACATGGTATCTTGCTCTTGAATCTGGCAGTTTTTGGTTCCCTGCTCAGGTCTATAACCGTGAGGTATTAGTTATGAATCCCGTTTATTCTTTTCTGTTGAAAGAAAAAAAATCCTCTTAGTTTCCCCAAATTTTTTTTTATTTATGATCCCACAAGTTACATTTATGCTGTTCTTTTTTTTTTATTTGGCAGAATGGTCATGTTGGATTCATGTTGTCTTGCTACGATGCTGAGCTTAGTTATGATCCACGCACTGACACCTTCCATGCCAGGTAAATTAGGCATGATTCACAGTGATCATACATTGGTATCAATCTTATATATTCTGTCCCATAATTTGCTTGAAAGAATTTTGAAGGAGCGAAAAATTAACATAGATCTGGAGGCCTAAGCATTGATTTGTTGCTTAATGACAGGTACCCACCTCATGGAAGTAAGCCAGTTGCAATAGAGAATGGCATTCCGTGGGAAAGATTGCGAGCACCACCTGTTGATACTTCTCCACGTGATCTTCATATCTCTGATTGCTTGAATGATTTGCGTCCGGGTGATCACATAGAGATTCAGTGGAGAAGAAACAAAGAATTTCCTTATGGTTTGTTCCTTTCTTTAAATTGTTTGTCTTCTACTTCTCCTCTCACTATCTCTTGTAAATAGGAGTAGAACCTAATTGAGTCTTTGAACAAGAAAGATTTCACCAATATTAGATAAATTTGATATTGGTTGTCGGAGGAGAGAGGAGAAACAAAAGTCTCAAAAGCCATCAAGGAATATGATTGCAAGAAAATTCTTGGAAATACATACTTACATTGTGAGTAAGATTCTGACAGTAGAAAAGTTGGTTTCTGATGTAAATCTTCTTATGCTTAGTCGATTAAGAGATCGTGAAGGCTAAATTTAGTTAGTAGCATATGAGTAGTACTATATTAACCTAACAGGAATTGCTGCATGGAGCCAACTTCACTTGATAAGTTGTTGTTGAATTACTGTATGACGGGATGCACCATTATGGCAGGTTGGTGGTATGGTGTTGTTGGTCACCTGGAGTCGTGTGATGGGAATGAAACTTACTGCCGTTGTCATAACAGTGGTGAGTCAATTTCATTTTCTTTGCAGATGATTGTTATGACTATTCATTTAACCCATGTTCTTTTTCTCCATCTAAGTAAATTATATTTTGGCCATAACATGCCTAGAGGTTAAGCTGAAGGGTATGATTCATAGATTTTGAAGTGGTTGGAACTTCAAAGAATGGTTGTTGGATTCACTTGTATTATGGATTTTTGGTATAATTGGATAATTTTCATAAGATGCAACATAGTTCCTCTTGCCAGCCTTACTTAGTTGGATAAGACTCGCTGCTGCTGCTTCAAAATAATTCCTTTTGCCTTTATGGTGTTAGAAATAAAAAGAACTTGTCATGAATTTTATGGACAAGGGAATGCATAGACTCTTAAGGTTTAGACTTTGGTGTATTATGGCTTTTATATTTACAGTTTTTTAATCAACCATTATAATATTATATGTCTCAGAGAAACAAATAAAAAAATGACTCAAGAAATGTTAGTCTTTGACAGACCACTCTGTTAATTGGGTTAGGTCTCTTTCCTGAATATAATATACCTAAAAATTGACTACTTTTCACTTTTTGATTGGTCCTCAAGACGTATGGTCAGCATGTCCTCATTTCCACTAACAAATTAATAATTGGTGTCTTAGTGAATTCATTTATGGCCAAGTAGGCTACTGTGTTAAACGGATCCAATTTCTTTTATATTCTGTGTTCTTCTAGGGGGAATCTTCTTCGCAAGTGGTCTTCCCTGGGTTTTGGTCATTATCAGCTTCAAAATTTTGTTTATATTTTTCTGATCTCTTGGTAAGTATGCTTGGAATGACGTGACTTCTGCTTGAGTAAAATAATAAAAGGACTTGAAAGAAATATATTGTGCCCCAGCAAACGGAATCAATAGTTACATCTTGGCTGTGAATGAAGATTGTTTTGCCTGGGAAGTGACCCTTGCCTTTTCATTTTTTGCTGGCTTTAATTGTGAATAAAGATTCTTATGCTGTTTGATTGGTCCCCAAGACTAATCATGGTCAGCATGTCATCATTTCCATCAGCACATTAATAATCTATGTCTTAGCGGATCATTTTTGTCCAAACAGACAGCCCTATTGAAAGAATCCAACTTGTTTATAGGTTATGTTTCAATTGTAGGTGGAATCTTCTATGCACGGCTTTCATGAATTGGGCATCATAAGCTTCTGAATTCTGTTCTTATTTTTCTGACTACTCTGTAACAGTGATTGGAATCACCTGAGATTTCTTACTGAGAAAAATAACAAAACTACTTAGGAAAAATTCTGTGCCTCAGTAAACTGAATCAACTGTTGCAGTTTCATGCCTAGTTGCCGATGCTGTGACTCTTACCTTCTTTTATGCTGTTTGATTGGTCCCCAAGACATATCATGTTCGGTGTGTCATCATTTCCACTAGCACGATAATAATCTCTATGACCAACTAGGCAACTATGTTAAAGGAGCCCAATTTCTTTTATAGGCTGTGTTTTGATTCTTGTGGGAACCGTTTTCACTTGTGTGGCTTCTGTGATTTTTAGTTATTATAAGCTTCCACAATTTTTTGCCCCTGATGCCTTGATTAGCATGCACCGAATGGCTCAGAACTTCAGGCTAATTAAAATAACTAAACAGCTCAAGAGAAAACTATCATGCTTAGCAAGTGAAATAAATAAACCGTTACAGCTTCTTGGCTGTGAATATAGATTGTTTGTTTGTGTAGTGATGCTTGCGCTGTCATTTTTGGCTGGCTTTAGTTGTGAATAAAAATTGTTATGCTATTTGATTGGTCCCCAAGACATATCATGATCTGTAAGTCATCATTTCCACCCGCACGTTTATAATCCATCTTAGTGGAATCATTTATGGACAACTTGGCAACTATAAACCTGATTTCTTTTATAGGCTGTGTTTCAATAGGAATCTTTCTATGGGAGCCTCAATGAGTAATGAGTTTTGGTCATTGTAAGCTTCCAAATACTGTCCCTATTTTTCTGATCTCTTGATAAGCTTGTCTGGAATGACCCAAACTTGGCTCGGAAAAATAATAAAACAATCAGAGATAAATATGATGCCTCAGCAAACTGAATCAACTGTTTACAGCATCTTGACTGTGAATATAGATTATTTTGCCATTGCGGTGATCCTCTTGCCTTGTCACTTTTTGGTTGGCTCTAATTGTGAATCACAATTTATGTTTCTAAGATTGATCTTCATAACCCTATACCCTGGAAATTATCTTGTAGTAAACGAACTTGTCGCTATTCAACTTAGCATTGTGCCAACCTTTTATTTTGGGAGTTTGGGCTTTGGATAGACATGATACTTGAACTATTGTACATATGTCGCTTCTGTCCTGTCAATAAATACATGTTTTTGTGCAAGCTCTTTGTAAATTTTTCAAATATAAATGCGCGCGCGCGGTTATTTTATTTTAGGTAGTAGGTTTCAGATATGATACTATTGTCTTGTCCTTCTCTAATCTATATGGAGCTTTCAAGTCCAGTCCAAAGAAGTAGTTTCTATGTGACTATTGGGATTGCTCTCTGATATATTTTAGATATGTTTGTCTAACCACCAAGGGCTTGTAGTTTAAAATATTAGATCAATTACTATGTGGCTAGAAATAGAATTGTTGCCAAAAGTTCTCTTCATATGAGTTTTGATCTTTATGTGTCCATATTGGCAATGTTACTCCCTCATTAAATAAGATATTGGATAGTGATAAGTATAAATGCGGGCAACGTGAAAATCAATAGCACAAGTAAAATGATGAAGGGTAGTCTCAATTTGTTGAGATTGTTTTTTAAGATTTTGTCAAACAAGATGTTCCACTTTGGGAAGTTAACAAGTTGTTTATTAGGAGTCCATTTACCAAGCCAACAACGATTCCCGCAACAGCCAATCATGGCATTTGGGATTCAAACTGACTATTTGACACTGAACGATTTGTTGCAGACACAATTGTCCTAGAGTTCAATCAGTACGCTGGGGGGTCACGATGGCGACGAGCGACTGCCAGTAGGAAAGATCATAGGGAGGAAGGAAATGAGGCTGATGGTTTCTATGGAGGAATCAGGAAGATTGACAATGTTCATGAGATTTCCATGTGGAAACAACTTTGGCCCTCTGAAATCTTAGACTGATAGGAGGAATTGCGTCAGTATCAGAAGTATCTTCACCTGAGCATGATTTCAAGAAAGAGGCTTACTGTTTTGTTTTTTCAGAGACTGAAGCATCGATCAAAGGAGGTATATAGAATTTGAAGTGGCTTCCTGTGAGATTAGAAGCGTTTGTTGTCAAGTTGTTTAGTAAAACAATAACACGTAGATCATTGTTATGAGTCAGCATTAAATTAAATTAACTCATCTGTCATGATTATGCTGAATAACTTGTGGGCAAACATTTAAAAGTTAGGTTTAAGTTTCTTCCTTTCATCACCTCGTTCACTCGCTTTTGAGAATATTTAGCATATTCATGTGAGTTCCATCAATGTAAATTAGTAAAGTACTTCTCATTTATGGGCACGTTGTAGAATATTCATTCCACGATATATATATATATATATATATATCGAATGATTCTGTAGTTCTGGCAATGATCAACATGTAATGGGGGTTCATCTTATAGTTCTTTCTCCTTTTCGTACAAATATTTGGTAGTCGGTGCTGATGAGTCATATCAGAGTATTGTCAAATTCAAATGGAGCTAGTTTTCTCGTGATTTTTTTCATATACAATGTTTAGAATCTTTGATCTATTTAAGAAAAATGGAGACACTTCTATTCAGATCAACAACAGTCGGTGGTAATTTAATGTTTAGCTTTTGCTTAGTGGTTTAGTGGTTAATATTTTGGTTCTTGCTCAAAATTCATTAGCCTTTTGTTTTGGTTGAGAGATTTGGATAAAATGTTAAAACGCATGGCACCTGACATATTGGGTAAAGCACACTACTAATATACTTTATATCGTATGTAATAATAATATACCTATTTTTTTTATAATTATAAGGCATTTTTAATTGACTCATGTGAACCAATACAATTTGTTAATATCCCGAAACATTCAATTTTTTTTCCCAAATAAAGGGCACAATTAGAAACATTCATTAATTACACTTAAAATTGGGTAGGTATTTTCCCTTATAATTAAGACCAAGAAAATACGATGGCTATCCAAAGGAGTACTATTTTTTTTTTTTTGAGCAAAAGAAAGGAGCACTAATTATTTTGAACATTTTGCAAAATGATTTATAAAATTGTTAAAAAAATCTTAAAAACATGTCTTACGACAATAAATGGAGGGAGTATATCATTAAAAAGCGGAGAGCATGATGAGTAATTTAATTGTTCACAAGTTGTCTAATTAACTACGAATATAAGTTGCTTCATTTTCTTGTGTGTATATATATATTGAGTAAATATTTTTCTTTAATGGTAATAAAAGATATCCCATCCTGTTTTTATTATAAAAAAAATGATAATAAAATCTCTCGAATTATATAAATGATAATATAATTTTTTAAAATGTTATGATTTCATTGACGTCCTTAGAGACTTCTATGTCAATAAAGATAAAATGTCAATAAATTTTAAATTAAAAAGACTATTTTATTTTTATTAACAAGTTGTAATTTCGTATTCAATTTTTACAATTCTTTGATTAAAAATTGTTATTTTTTTAAATAAAAGTTGTGATTGTGGCTTATTATATTGAGGATTTATTTTTTAATAATAGAAATTACACTTAATAAGTTATAGTTTCTTGTTCAACTCTTACGATTCATCATAGAATAAAAGTTATTTCTTAAACAAAAGTTATAATTAGGATTTGTTATTTTTAATAAGGGTAAAATAATTTTTTCAATTTAAAATTTATTGACAAATACTCACTTTGTTAAAAAATATAAGGCATTTTTATCGAATCTCACCCCTTAATAAAGTAATTACTTACTTTTCAATTAATCCTATCTTTTCATATTTATTTCTATTAAACACCTTACAAGAAATATAAAGTCATTATTAATAGGGGCACTTTTGAAAAAAAACAATGATTATACCTTGAAATATTAAAAATGCCTTATATTTTTAAACATTCAACTTATCAAAAAATGCCTTATATTTTTGAACAGAGGGAGTAAGTCTCCAAAAAGATTTTTCAAGAAACTAGATTGTCATTTATATAATTCGGGAGATTTTATTATTATTTTTTCTTTATTATATGATGTTTTCTATAAAGATTTTTTGATCTTTAATTAAAAAATTACTTGATCAGTATTAATTAAATTTTAGTTTAATAATTTATATATATATATATATAGACTAAAGTGTATTTTTTTATCTTTAAGTTTACATAAAATTTTAATTTAATCCTTAATTTTATAAAACATTTTTTCAGTCCTTTAATTTTAACATGGTTAATTTTAAATAATTATTTTTTATATTAATAATTATTAGTTTAAGAAAAATTAAATTAAATTTAATATATAAATATTTTAAAATATTTTATCAATAGCTAAAAATTAAGTCTACGGATTTTCACGGTTGAAACTAATCAGAATTAAAGGACTAATTTTTTTTTTATAAAATTAAATGATTAAAATGAAATATTGTGTGTGCGTGTTTGCATATTCGAGGTTGAGTCTGTTCCCTCCATCCTTTCGCGCTGGAGCCAGGTTCGGACACTGTTCAAAGTTCGAACTATGCAATCGAAGGAAGGGGGTTCTCTGACAGAAGTGCTCAAGTGTAGCTTTACCACCTCATCTTCTTGAAACAACACTTCACCCCACCATCTTCCTACTTCTATTTCAAGCGATATTTTCATGCAACATACGCTGTTAGGTTGCCGCCAAATCTGAGGTCCTTCTATGTACTCACTCTCTTCCCAGTTCAGAACCGCAATTTCCTTTACCTCCGTCAATGACAGAGGCAAATCCTTTGCTGTCACCTCTCTTACTTTTGGTAAAATCAACTTTTGTGTTCGAAATCACACTCACACTGTAATTCCCGACAAACCCGTTCGAAGGAACGGTGCGAGGCGTAGGGTAAAAGAGTCTGATGCGCAGCTTAAGGAGAACTGGTTGGCTTCACTATCTTGCCCCTTACTTGAAAAGGCTCACCTAATGGATGCAGGAGTGGACCTGAACCACCGCAATGAGGGTTCGGAGTGGGTCATTGGAGTTGACCCAGATATATCTGGTGCGGTGGGGCTCCTGAAATACGAAGACTCCGGTTGTTCTGCTCAGGTAACACGGTTTTTTCTTTTTTGGTTGGATGAAGTGCTGTGTGTTGTGGTTAGCCAAATGTTTAGAAAGAGTACTTTTGGTTGACGAACAACTTAAACAAATCAGGGAATTATCGCGTTCATCCTTCAAAGATACATTTTTCTTTTGCAATTTGGTTTTCATTTGTTCTTCATGTGTGCTTGCTCGTAATATTGATTGCGGGTACGGATGGATTTTGTCAATATACTTGCTTGCTAATCAAGTTGCCTTATGGAATATGATATGTATGCCAGAATTGGACATAAATTTATGGATGAGGTTATTGATAAATAAAGACCATCACTTTCTGTTGAGATGGTTAGTTGGATTCTGATTTCTATTGCAAGGTTTGAAAACTATTAATATCCCTACGCTCCATCAGTATGAATGTACAGTAGTTTGATTTTGACCACCTGTGGAGAAACGACGGGGAATTCTATGCACTTGCTGCATTGTAAAACAAGATTATATGCTAATCTGGTAAGCTTGATGCTGGAAACTGTTCTGTTGCTTGGTTATTGAGAAGGTTTGTATATAGAGAATAATTCATGATGTTTTATTTTCTTTTGTTACTCTATCATGGTCTTCAATATTATCTTCCTTCTCAATACTTTCTTCTTATTTTTAAAAAATGACGTTCACTTCTGCCTGGGGTGTTGCTATATCTCATCAATCAAGTAAGAGTCAGTGAAAGCATATAAGATGTATGAGGATGATTTCTGATTGCCAGACTTTATTTCCTTTTAACATTCCTGAATTGTCTTTAGGCCTCTTTCTTGGTTTTCATGTTTTAGTCTGTTATCGTGTAGATTATTTTCTATTTTTTAATCCATTTATACTTTTACAGGTATTTGATTCTCCATTTGTGCAAATACTTGTTGGCAAAGGAACTCGAAAACGCTTGGATGCCAAGTCTATTGTTCAGTTGGTTCGTAGTTTTGAGGCTCCTATTGGTATGCTAAATTTTCTCTCTCCCTATCTTTAAACAAATGCATGTCATATTTTCCAGGTTGTTGGAATGATGTTAGAAGTGAATGATACCAACCTCGGTCACTGTTTTGTCCTGTAGATTTTACTCATTATGTTGAAGTTCCTTTTCTTTTCTCCTTTTGATTCAAGGTTGTGATTCTCTTCAGCCATTGCATTACAGCTGACATAATCTTCCTTTGATCGGTTTCTTATAAGAATCTCTGTCCTGTTATTCTTATATATTTGTGTTTTTGTCATTAAATGTTTTGCTTCCATCTTTGACAAACTTTTTAGAATGTCTAATTTAGAGTTAAAGAAAGTCATGGATATACTGGAAGTGATCAAAGTAAATAAACTCATGCTTGGAATTACATCGTGGGATTTTACTACTCGAAACCTTTTTTTTCCTCTCCACTTCACAAACCTTAAGCTTTATAAAATCTGATGAGTAGAAGTTATAGACTTTATTCATAATTGTGTGAAAAGCTAAATTGATAGTTCTTTTTCTATTATTAGCGATGATTATGGTGATTATCAGCCTTATTTTTTTGCATCTCAAAATACTAAAAAATGATTTTAGTGGTCTCAATTGCACTTCAAATTTTACTTTGCCTATCCGGTTACATATTTCAGAGTGCTGATGTCTTTGGTTCACGTCTTGGGCTGAAGGTTTCTGCATTTGTTCTCTTATTTCTTTGATAAAGTAAATTACATGCACTCTGTAATATATCCTCAGTTTGCTGCAGTAATTTGTCAGCATTATTTTCCTTTCTAATATATTTATTTTGACACTTGACCCTTTTTATTCTTGGACTTATCGAAATTGACTCTTGCTTTCATTAGGAACCACTGCTTATATAGAACAATCAATCCCGTTTCCAAATGACGGAAAGCAGGTTGGTGTAGTCCCTTATCCCTTATTTTTTTTCCCTGGGAACTTTTCTATTGACTTTAATTTAATGCTGTTTCTCTTCTATTTGCCTACAACCTTTTGCTTTATTGAGTTACTCATGCAGATGAGGAGGTTACCTGGCCCTTCGTCTGTTGTTTAAAGATGGGAAGCATGGCTCACATGAATTTGCACTAACTTTCCTCTGTTGGGAAGAAATCTTCCTTAAAGAGTCCTTGAGTATAATTATCTTTTCCTCTTTTGCCTTGGCCAGAGCATCTTTCTTGGCCCCTCAACCATGAAAATTCACCTTTGCTTATAGTCTTTAATTCATGGTGTTAAACTCGTTCTCATCAAGCTGTTTTAGCTTGAGTTAAAGTCCTTGATCTGAATAATATATTGATGAAGAGTGTTACTTAAATCTCAAGGAAAATACCCTAAAGGAGTGCAATTTACAATACCATTTTACTTGAAGGCCAAAAAGTTATCCTGAACTTCTTAGCATTTTGGGTTTCCACCCAAAAATTCCTTTTGGATTCTGATGTTTTAGGTTTAACTACTCTATCATGATTTGACCACTGCCTCTATATGTATTTCTTCTGTAATTGGCCTCCAAAGCATATCAAAACTTGCATCTTTCTCTCCCTAAAGTATTTCCTGTGTCTAAACTACTAAAAAGTTTTGCAATAGCATATATCAACGCGGAACTATATCAGGAAATACTTGTCTGGTACTACTACTGAATCAACGATAATTTCAATACCTTCAAGGCTATGATTCTAAATTTGAATTGATGCAAATAATTGAAAATGATATGTGGTACTTTTTTGGCAACAGATGTGAGGTTGGACTAATATGAAATGCAAAATACATATTGCAATCTGATTATGCTATTGAAAGACCCTTGTAATTCATTGTCAATGTGGCCACGTCACTGTTCCCCATTTGCATTTGGATGATTTGAGTTAATTGTATCAATTCCACAAATAAGAGAGAAAATTGGCTGTCTTAAAGTTTTCCCTCTCGTGGGAGTGGATTCCACTTATTGAGCGCCCTTCTTGGAAGAATGGATGTATAGGTTAAGCTGTAAATTTCCAAGTTTGACGCATAAATATCACAGGACTTGTAGAAAATTTTCCCCACTTCTGTGGTTTAGGGTTTAATTGAGAATTTTTTACAAGTCCTCTTTTGATATTTATGAGTCAAACTTGGAAATTTACAACTTATTTGGTGTATTTTTGCACAAGTTCTCTAAAGGACCCATTAGTGATGAATCAAATTAAGGGGACACATTAGTAATTAATTTCCTTGATTGTGACTTTTCTGTAATCTTCCCATTTGGATTCTGTAAAATGTAAATGGTGGTCTATAATCAAGTTTGACTGTTTGAGCCAAGTATTGTGTGCTAACTTACTGTTAGTGTAATCCAGAAATTGAAAATGGCGAATCTTTAAAACTGAATGATTATTAGATATGAGAAAAAAAAAAGAAAAAAGAATGATTATTAGATATGTGTAGAACGCATTTTATAATATCATATTTTGATGGAACTATTGCTGTATCAACCAGAAGTATTTGTTCTCATTTTTTTGTGTTTCTCCCTTGTCTTTTGTAATCAAGGGTTGGTGGAGCGGAGGATTTGGGTATGGGCTATGGATTGGGATCTTAGTCGCCTCTGGATTTTCTGTTGTTCCAGTGCCATCTTATACCTGGAAAACCAAATTTGAACTCAATGGAAGTAGGGCTGCAAAGGTTTGTTTGATCCTAACAATGAAGACTGTTGTTGGTTTTGGCTAATTATTAAATGCAACTTTTTCTTAAGTTTATTCATATTTGCATGAACTCCACGGTAAGGAGAGAATATATATATATATATATAGTTTGTTGATAAACTTGTAAATTTTGCACATTCTGATATATATATTACTTTTTTCCTACACTGTTGCCTCTTTTGAATTATAGCTAAGTTCTGACATTACAGGATGACAGTAGGAGAGTCGCATCTACCTTGTTTCCATCACTAAGTTCGCTGTTGAGAAGGAAAAAGGATCATGGTATTTTTTGTCTTTCTTATAGTCCATCTTTCAACTGCTATCCTGGTCATACAAGATCATTTTGGAAATGTGTAATGGCAGGATTTTGAACAGGACATTCCAAAACCCTAGAATCCTGCATGATTTGAAAGTGTAAACATTACTGATTACTTCTACTGTTAATTAATGCAATGTTTATATTCAAAGTCCGGCTTGTTCTTTAATTAAAAACAATGCAGGTTCTCCAGGAGTTATTGAGCTACTGCAGTTTGTAGAGCTGCAGTTTTAATTTGTTTTATTGATCTGAATAAAGATATCACTATTTGGTCTTTCATAGTACTAAGTTTTTCAGTATCTTTTTCTTTATTATTTCTAGGAGTTATCAAATGGCCTCTAAATGAGGAAGTTAATTAAGGAATATAGAGTAATTTTTTCTTAAAAAAAATCTTCATTCTTTAAGAAACCCTCCATACGAAGAAGATCTTCAACTGGCAGTGGCTGTTGGGACAAATGAACAGAGATATACATCACTGTCTTCTGGTGATTTTGATTACAAGAATGAGCCACGAGGATTAAACCTTATGCCTCTCTGAAAGGTTCTCTTGTATCAACTAAAAAATACAGACCATCTAAAATCCCTATTGGAAGGTACTTGAAACTAACAGATAACAAACAAAATTCTGAATGACATGAATGGTGTTAAAACTTCAGCTGAAGATATATAATATAGCTGATTCACTAATTGTATAGGAGGCATGGCAGGATAAATATTATATGTTAATCAACTTGTGGATTTCTCTCTTTTACATTCCTTATTGCTGTCATGATACTTGTTGAAAGCGTGTTCTGGAGACTCACAGTGCCCTGAATTGTAAAATTCACATGTATACTGTCTCTTATCCCTTATGAACCCTACATTTAGGCTATTTGCTTTTCAACATTCCCTGAAATATGTCGTATTTGTGCCAATTGATCCTGTTGGTTACCAGTATTTTATCACGCGTGATTATATATGTAATGTAACTAATCTGTCATATTGCAGGAAGGGCTGAGGCTCTACTAATTGCTGCTTATGGCATGGGCCAGATGAATGAGTTGGATTTATCATGCTATTCCATTTTGGAAAAAATGGAAACTTGAAAATGATAGTGACATATTTTGTTTGGCTTGTTTCTTGTTGCGTGGGGATTACCTGAAAGGGCAGGACAAATGAATTTGTTTGACTGAGGCTGTCTAGATTTTCGAAGTTGGAGCTTTGGCATCTGTTGGATGTTTTTGAAGACTTGTAAATGACAGGTATTCAGTGTATATTCTTCTGGAATTTGTATTTCTCTTAAGCATATTAAGATGACATAATGATGTAGAAAGACACTAACCATTGTAGGGATTCTGATACATTTGGAAGGACCAAGTCCCCTCTCACTCATTCTGTTGCATTTCAGTTGGATAGAGATTTCAATGAAATGTTGAGGTTTAAGCCAACTTGGTCGAGATTAGAATTTTCTTCTTTCCTTGGCTATTGCCACCATTGTAGTTACCCGTGATACGAAACACCAATACTTAAAATCAAACTGTATCACAGTCATGATCCAAAAAAAGGGGGCAAATGACAATTAATAATCTTGTAAGAAAATTAATGTTAAATCACGATCCTATCATAACTAATTCAATTCATTTTTCACACTACAATAAAGTTTCGGTTTAGTTCATCTTCAAGTATTTTGTTATAAAAGAAGCTCAGTCTAGGAAATATAGAGAATCGAGGGTAAAATCTTACAATTCTTATGATTTATCAATAGAAAATTGAAATTCACCTTTCCATCATCCTTTCACTTATAAGTATGCCGAGCCATGGCCACCAACAGAAATTGTTTCGTCACTTGCCTCATTTCTTGAAAGAGAAGATTATGAGATTGTAACATGCAGGCATTAATTTTCACATCTAAATATAATATCATTAGCTACTTCAATAAGTTCTTCCCCATTGCGTAATTCTTTTGACGAATTTGACAGCGAAAAATACATGTTTTTATCAGATATTTTAACGGTTCTAGTGTAGAGTAATCTCAAAGATGACTCCTTCAAGATTCCCAACAATGTGCCTTGTCCCAGGCAGCTCTTTCATCTGCAATCCGTGCTTCAAAGCTTCATTAACGATCATCATGTCGATGCTGCAAGGTGGTGCATTTTAATTAAATGAGAAATCTTAAGAATTTCACAAGGTACTGAAAACCATATTGGCTATTGAATCGTTCAAAACACTAGTTTAAGGATTACTTATCAAGATCATGGTTGAATGATAGTCAAACAGGTAACAAACAAAACATTTTATTGAACTGATCAAGACATTTGTTAAGAGTTTACTGGTGTAACCGGCTAGGTTAACTTGATTTTCAACACTATGAAATTTAGATCAAAACCATAGCATAATTATCATTAGTAAACAAACAAATGAACAGTGATTAAGACTATTAGCCATGGCTTTCAAAAGTTGCAAAAATTTTATGCTTATATCATGTTACTATATTGATAATTAGACATGCAAAATAATCATAAGCTCAACAGAACAATTGAAGACGTTTGCCTTGCAGAATTTAGACAACAAGGGGTTATGGGACATGAATATTCATTGAAGCACCAAAACACCATGGAAGGATCAAGGATGAACAGATTGAGTTCAAAGAAAAATCATGAATGTTCTCTGGGAAAGTGAAGCTTGAACTTGGTTAACACCCTAATAGGGACTTAATAAGTAGTAAAGACTCGAAGGTAAAATGATAATTCCTCACCGCTTACTTTTGTTCAAGCTAACTCTTAGAAGAAAAGACAGGGAAATTAATACCCCTTAGCTCTCAACCTTGCAAGGGAACACAGATTTTTTTTTTTTTTTGGGATACACGGAAAGAGATTTTGATACTGAGTAATGAGAATGGAATGATAAATTTTGACACTGATCAATGAGGATAAGATTTTGATACTGGGCAATGAGATTGAAAATGATTTTACAGTTTCGGATTAGCAATAACTGCTCCACCTTATTTCTACTTTACAACAACAACAACAACAAGCCTTTATCTCACTAGATGGGGTCAGCTACATGGATTGCAAGACGCCATTGTGCTCTATCATTTATCAAGCTTTTAGGAATATTATTAATTAAGAGATCGCACTCAACAACTTCCAAGAGTGTTCTCTTAGGCCTTCCTCTACCTCTCTTAATCAGACTCAAAGTTATATGTTCCACTCTTCTCACTGGTGCCTCCCTTGGTCTTCTTTGTACATACCCAAACCATCTCAACCGATTTTCTACCATTTTTTCCTCAATAGGTGCCACCCTCACTTTTTCGCGTACGTGCTCATTTTGAATTTTATCTTTATGTGTATGTCCGCACATCCATCGTAACATTTTCATCTCTGCTACTCCAACTTTATGCTCTTGCTGTCCCGTTAGAGCCCAGCATTCACTACTATATAACATTGCCGGTCTGATAGCAGTGCGATAAAACTTTCCTTTAAGTTTATTAGACACCTTACGGTCACAAATAACTCCTTTAGCTTTTCTCCAATTAAACCACCCAGCTTGAATTCTATGTGAAATATCTCCACCGATTTCGCCATCATTTTGAATAATGGCTCCCAAATATCTAAACTTTTCCACTTGAGGTGTAATTTGATCTCCCAATTTCACTTCTAAATTATTGTCGAATAGTCCTTTACCAAATTTACAATATAAATATTCCATCTTACTTCTACTCAGACGAAAACCTTTCGACTCCAATGTCCTCCTTCATAACTCAAGTTTGCAATTAACCTCTTCTCTTGTCTCTGCTATAAGAACTATATCATCCGCGAAGAGCATACATTTCGGGATTTCCTCTTGAATATGTTCCGTCAAAACATTTAAAATCAAGTTGAACAAATAGGGACTCAGAGATGATCCCTGATGTAGTCCAATCTTTATAGGAAAATCCTTTATTTCACCACTAGGTGTTCTTATACTAGTTTTTACCCCCTCATACATATCTTGTATGGCTTTAATATAAGCAATTCGTACTCCCTTTTTTTTCCAACGCTTTCCAAAGCACTTCTCTTGGTATACGGTCATAAGCTTTTTCCAAATCAATAAAAATCATGTGTAGATCTTTATCTTTACAATGATACTTTTCCATTAATCCCCTTAAGAGATAAATCGCCTCTGTAGTTGATCTACCTGGCATAAAACCAAATTGATTCTCAGAAATATTTGTCTCCAATCTCAACCTGTGCTCAATTACTTTCTCCCACAATTTCATTGTGTGGCTCATGAGTTTAATCCCTCTATAGTTAGTACAATTCTGAATATCCCCTTTATTTTTATAAATAGGAATTAATGTACTTCTCCTCCACTCATCAGGCATTTTCTTGGACCGTAAAATCACATTAAATAACTTAGTTAACCATCTCACCCCTTCTTCACCTAAACATTTCCACGCTTCGATAGATATACAATCAGGTCCGTTGGCTCTACCATTTGCCATTTTCTTAAGAGCTTCCTTTACCTCCTTATCACGTATTATTCGATAGAATGACAAATTTTGTTTTCCTTCACCAGTTACTAAATCCTCCAAGTTACTAGGTGAATCCTCTCCATCATTGAAAAGTTTAGAAAAGTAAGTCTCCCATCTATTTTTAATTTCATCATCTGGTAAAAAAAACTAGGTAAAGTTTTAAGGAATTCACTATCTCGAGTTCTGCGATATATATATATATATATAATATGATATGATAAGAGACTTTTTGTAGCTGACCACGGCATGACTGGGCCGTTCAAAAAATGTTTCTTCACACAATGATCTAATGAGGAAACTTGGTAAGTGATAACAAATGCCCTAAAGATTTTACTCAAGTCTTGTCCTCAATATATAAAGCCTCAAAATGTAAGATTCATAGAAAGGATCATCGTGAGAGGTAGAAGCTCTCTCCACTTCACTTCCTTTGTAATTTGTGCAGGGCTTTTCCTGTTTTGAAATTTGTTGATAAATTAAATTTTAACCAAAAAAAATCCTGAATTATCAGTTTTTCATCGATTCAGTGACCCTGCACCTGCTATTATCAGAAGATATGATACAACCTCAAAATTTCACTGCGCTCTTATCTAACAAACTGGGCCAATATCAGCAAAATATATCCTCGTGGGAAGGTCATAAAAGTAACGAAGTAAATCTACCAAATATTTGCAAATTTTAACATGCCATGAGAGGATAACGATTCAAAAATGGTAAACCTTGGACTCAACAGATGAAAAATGGCAAATATGAAAATACATGATACAAGCATGATGTTGTGAACACAGATGAGCAACTGTTATGAGTCCCACATAAGAGAGCCTCACAAGTGAAGTTAGGCTAATCTTTTATGATGAGCTCATAACAGCAACAGAGAGGTGCTTATCAAAGAAGACAATTAAACCGAGCAACAAAGAGACACGCATCAAAGGAAACAAAATTAAACATAGCAGCCAAGATTAACAAGCTAGGTTACTTACCTCTTTGCTCTTGATACATAGGCTAGTATGAATTTGCATTCTCTGTCCTCTTCTACCAGCAGCAGCATCTTCACAGTATCAAAAAGCAGAGGAATGCTTGACTGCTGAAAGCTTATGCATTGTCAAGGCTTCTCAAATAAAGTATTCGTTCAATTTACATAATTCATTTCAGCAAAGATCCAACACGTTAAAGAGGAACTGAAAACTTTGACCATGTGAATGTGTGTGTTTTTTTTTTTTGGGGGGGGGGGGGAAGCAAGCCATGAAGGTTTGAACAAGAAAAAGCAATATCTTGCACAAGGTTTTCACAATAATAATGGGACTGATGGGAACAGAAAGGGGGTCTCACACTCCATTTAAAAAATACTAAACTCAAATATTTTGAAACTGATAGTACAGGTGAGTGACAACACTGTAAAATATGTTGAAACCAATGCCAGTGTCAATAAAAATCATCAGGTATAATAACAAAGATGATACCTCGGTCTTGCGTGTTTATTCAAATCTCAGTAGTAAAATTTTATCTAGCTGAACACTCATTGGTCTGATTCCTAATCCCTAACTATAAAAGAATAGCTTGATGGAAAGCCTGATTTAGAGAGATAATAGTATGGTTAATACTTATATCTCATAACGGCATACAAAACAATAAATTATCTGATCTTCAAATAGAAACTACATAGAAAATTGAATCATTGGCTAGGGCATATGACATGCAAGATTGTTATTGTTCTAATCAATTTCTATTCTATACTTCTTCTTCTTCTTCTTCGATAAATTCTATTCTATACTTCTACCCTAAGCTAAAAAACTTATTCTTGTATTCATGTCTTTCTAATGAAAGTAAGATACAATGCATTATGGATATATATGTCAGCTCCAAGAATGAAGTTAAATCCTCCAGGATGATTTTGTAAAATTCCATTGATCTGATCAGAGTTCCCCCATTCTAGTTTCTCTGCAACTAATCCTGAAAATATATACAATTAAATTTAAAATTTAGTACATCCAATCACCTATTTTCTTAAAAAAGATTTTGTTCTAACCATGAGAAGTAGGACAGTTATTCTCAGGAACTGAATGCAGCTCTATATTTTTCTTCAGGATCTGAAGGTAGATACCAGATTAGTCTAAACAGATGAAAAGCTAGAGATATCCTCCTATTGGCCCTACAAACATGATTTCCTGACCTCACCTTGAGCACTTCTTCATTATGATCCGTTAACACAACTTTCTGGCAGAATCTACTGCAAAGTATGCCGGTAACACCTGTAATAAATGAAGTAGCAACCACCAAAGACACATAGCATGAAAAAAGAAGAGATAGTTTTCTAGTAAAAGAAATTCAAGATGTAAAGAAAATAAAATAAAATATAAAAAGAGGAAGTAACTCATTTCCTAAAACAAAGGGAAAAGGGGAATGGTAATTGCACAATTTCAAAGTCATGAAATTGGGAATGATACAAGGAATCATTATTTCTCCCAACAATCATCAAAGAATCTGCTCCCCCATGCTGACCTCGTGTTTTTTTAAAAAGAATACACACACGCACACGTGCACACCCATGCACACTTAAATCCTTATTTCACCATTATCATAGTTATCAAAATACTTTACATTAGGCAGAGGTAGATATAGTAACTACATATAAAATCCCACCAATTTGGCATGCAAAATGTTAGTGAGTTCTATCTTATAATATTATCAGTAGAGACAATGCATAAGAAAATTGCTAAAAGAAATTATGTCATATGCATTGCACAAGATGATTCTCCATAAAAAACTTCCAAGCATATAGGAAATTTTCTGATATCTAACTGCTGTATGCACAATGAATTATGTAGTTTGGAGTTAGAATACCATAGTGAATAATCACAAGTTTCAGATTCTCTATGAAACAGTTTTTATCTTTATACAACAGGAAACATTTTCTCTTTAAGTGTGTAATACATACCAACACCAGAACCTAATTCAATGACAGTGCAACCCTGAAGGATCTCACTATTTTTTGAAAGATAATCATTTAGCAGAATGGCTCCTGGCCACACCACTTGCCCTGTCAAATCAAAATCGGCTGATAAAAGGATAATTAGTATTGTGGCTCAAATTAAGGAAAAGATAGGAAAGCAAGGATATCCAAAACAAGAACAAATAAACAAGTACACAGTCTAATTTAAACCAAATAGACAGCGGAAACACTATTATGATAAGGTATTTTCAAATCATGAATGGTCATATCTTAATATATTAAATATCAAGAAATCAAAACCTTCAACATCTGATCCTTCTGAACCCTCTAACAATCAAATTCCCATTTAAGGTCACATGGGGAACCCTTTTTTTCAAACACTACTCATCAAATGGATAATAATTCTGGACACTGACTCTAGACAAAGGCTCTAGATTCTAGACAATGGCTGTGGGGGAAATATTTGATCAATATAATGGAGAATGTAAACTTGGTCACTGGTTAAAATAGTCTTAGAATTACTTACCAAGGAAAGGAAGTAGCACAGCATATGGCTAGCAGAGCCAATTAATCATCATGATAAATTGAGTTATAAAGGGAAGTGCGCTTAAAAATAACAACACGCTATTTCCTTACAGCAATACTCCATCCAAGTGAAAAGATTGACCATGGTAAGGACATTAAAGAAATGGCCATTGGCCCATCAAATTGTTTACTTCTTGATCATTCTTGTTTTCTTCTCCTCAGTCTTACATGGTTATTGAAAATGAGATATATTGAATTGTATCGGAACTCAATCCTAGTTCAACCAAACATATTCACAAGAGGACAGGAAAAAAATCTGTCATTAACGAGTTAAAAGTGTTGAAGTGCAGAGTCAAATGGATCTCTGCACAGTGATTATAAATAAAGTGATTTATCTAATGTGTGTAAAGCAGAATTGAGGCTGCGAACACAACAAAAAAGATAGAAAATGTAGTTTTAGCACAATCAAACTTGATAGGTAGCTCAACAACAGAAACATCTTAGATGTTTTTTCCCAATTGTAAAAATGAAAATCTTCGAAATGGGTGGGAAGTAACTCACTAGAAGCAGCATGGAGACAGAAGAGCTGAATCTCTTGAGACCCAAATGTAAAATTCGTCAGCTGGTAACTTGCAAAATCCAATTAACTCCATTACAAAAACAGTAATTATGATATACTTAAAGTACAGAGAGAAAGCAAGAAGAAGCTACTTGTCATTGAAGAAAAACGATCCGTCTAAGCTAATGGTGTCATCATCATCATCTTCTTCATGGCGATGTTGTTCCTGATTTCGTATTTCCTCCATGTGTAACACTTTCGCAGAGTTTGGAACAGTCAGGGTTTTGCAGTTTCACTTCGTTGAAAATTGCGACTTCAGAGGGAAAGGCAGGAAGGGGACCGAATTGCTTTGGCTTATACGACGACGTTCTACCTCGGTATATTATTTCTTATTTTTAATATAAACCAAATTTAACTAACTTTGTACTTATTAAAAAATAATAATTATATTCTTAAAATTATTCAAAAAGTACATAACTTTTAATTTTTCCTCTTTTTACAATTAATAACTATAATAAATTGTTATATAGCTATTCAATTAATAATAATAAATGAATGAATGAATGAATCAGGGAATGAATAAGAGATAAGCTTTAAAAAAAGAAAAACATTCACTATCCTAATTTTTTCTTATATTAATTAAAGATTTGCCCAATCTTAAATTTTGCCTTATATTTTTGTTAACATTATATTGCTTTTAATCATCACTTACACTTTTTTAAATTGTAATTTCAAAAAGCACTTCTAATGTTCACTAATATGAAATTCTAGTAGAGCTTTTTATCTCTCTCTATGCCAAACCACTTCAAAACCCTCAAAATGTGAAAGTTGGTTGCATATGTGATTTTTAAAATTCTGATGCGATTGTCATGTCGAGTCACACTTATTCTCCATGGCAAACATCACAAAATAGACAGCTTAACTTAAACCCAATTTTTGGGTCCAATTTGCCCAAAATCCTCTAATGCCCTAACCTAAATCCCTCGCTAAATGCCATTTTTTGTAGCTAAATTTTATTTTAGCTATAAATTTTGTCCCTTGCTAAATTCATAGCTAAAAAAAAGCTCGTTAAATTTAGCGAGAAATTGTATTTTCCTTGCTAATTAGTGAGGGATTTAGTGAGGGATTGAATCCTTTGCTAATCCCTTACTAAATATGTTTATATTTAAAAATAATTATGTCACATCACCTGCCATGTGTGATGTCAACTTATGACATGTCATCAACAACCTCATGCTTTGTCAACTACCATGTCATCAATCATCTCGTGTCTTATCACCCACTACATGTGCGACAATTCATGACACGTCATTGTCCACCTTGCGCCATGTCACTTGCTTCTTACAATATCATATATTTATCATGTTTATGCCAAAGCTAAGGTTTGAACCCTTGACCTCATACCTTCCAAGTTTTATGCTCTCCTTCTTTGCCAGTTGAATTGAAAGGCACCTACAAGCATTATATGATAAATTATATATATATATATATATATATTATTTAACTACATAAATATATCAAATAATATATTATAAAAATACACACATATACATATTAAGTTTTATTTTCAATTATTAATATGTTAAAAATATTTATATTTTATTTAAATTATTCTTTATATTATATTTTTAATAAAATATTATTTTATTAATGAAAATCAACTTAAAATAAATAAAATATTAAATAATTTTATTATGAATATTTTAGTTAATTTTTAAATTAAATTATTATTTTTAAATGAAATAATTAAATGTATAATTAAAAGTCATTGTCAAAAGGTAATTTTTTTTGTAGTAATTAGCTAGGGATAAAATTCCTCGCTAATTATTTTATTTTCGAGAGGGATTGATAGTCCCTTACTATTTTTCTCGCTAATTCTCTTATTTTAGAAAGGAATTGACAGTCCCTTGCTAATTTCCTCGCTAATTTTAAGTCAAGTTATGAAATTAACATTTCTCATTAATTTCTTGCTAACTCGGTATTTTAGAGAGGAATAGATGATCCCTTGCTAAATTTTTTCACTAATTTGCATTTTTTAGTAGTGTCTTGGCCCAATTATTGACACCTAATTAACCTAATTAATTGATTAAATCTCTAATTCATTAATCAAATCCTTAATTAAATTTTGGGATATTACAACAGTAGTCAAGCATGCGACATCTTGGTTATTTTAAAAGAGGGAAATTGTGGTACGAAAGTAAAATGGAAGCTTGGTCAAGTTGTCTTCCCTATTCAGTGAGTTTAGGTTAGTTTAGTCACAAAAACTTGGCCTCGTTGTTTTGTTAGCTCACGAGTTTAGTTATTTGTATTGAGGATGTTTGGATGGAATTGTGAATCATGCATGTTGTGACCTATGTTATATATATATATATATATATTATTGTATGCCATGATCATGTGTTATATTTTGTGCTCCCACTTTGCATAATCATTTATGTCTTGGCTAGCTAGTAGGTTGACATATTGCATTATTTGCATACTCCCTCCATTAAAAAATATAAGACATTTTTTGAGGGGTTGAATGTTAGAAAATGTAAGGTATTTTTAATAATTCAAGGTGTAATCATTTTTAGTCTTATTGATCTAATCATTGTCTTGAACTGATTTCAGTAGCTTACTCCTTGAGGATAAAATGACTTAGATGTTCACACTAATACACCTTAGTTTCTTTTAAAAGCTTGAGATGATTAGGGCTTTTCATAAGTAGTGTATTTTATTTGGTTACTGAGACTTTGTCTCATTTTGTGGTTACAATTTTAAATGTGACAAAGTTGGTACGAGCAAGGGAGAAGCTAGTCAAGGCAAAGAGTAGACAAGCCTTGCTTCTTTTTAATTGCCCTTAAACCTTTGGCTAATTATATTGTGTAATTGAATATATGTATATATTACCAACTAGGAAACATATGATTATTTTGGTTGTACTTGCATGATTTATACAAACTAATATGATTATAATTTGGCTTGAGTTGTGTATCTCATGATGAGGTTGTGTTGTGTGGCTAAATTACTCTTGCAAGTGTATGATTATTGTTATTAAACAAAAAAAAACATGAGATATTGTCATTTGAATGTTTTGGATGACCAACCATGTCCTAGCTTCATTAACGATCTGCTCGATTTTTTTCTTTGCCTCTTTAACTCAATCAAGAACATCTCCTATTTTGGATTGCAAATTCTATTTTTCTATTTTAAGTTTTTTGACTTTCTTGTTAAAGTAAAAAGAATAAGAAGCTTCAAGTATTATCACATTATAACATCTTAAAATTTTAATTAAGAGTATTAAACAAAGATGGAATTAATTAGGAGTAATGTGAAGCAAGATTTAGGGTTTAAATGAAAATTTTAAGGAAAAATTAGGTCACTGTCTATAACCATCTATGATTGTAATCCAACAAGTGGTTACCACTCGTGGACGAGCATCCTTGGAAGAGAAGTGTGCTATCTGTTCTCCATGGTTGAGCTTTTTAGTGGAGACAACCATCCACGGTTATGGACAGAGGAGTAAATTTGGATTAGTGACTTCAACGGCAACTGGACATGATTACAATATGCACAATCATCTGCGGTCAAAACATCAGATATGTGTTATAAAATGCCAAAAATAGAAAGATAGAGAGAATAGGAGAAAGGGCATTGGGAGAAGGGGAAAACTTTGCTAGGGCAAGAGTTTTCTAGCAATTTGAAAAGTTTTAGAGCTAGGAATCACAAGAGGTAAGTTCTTATTCCCTTCCTCCCTCATTCTAGCAAGATTTTGAGTTTTTATGAAGATTTTGATTGAATCTTAGTATTTTTTATCATTGGGAGGTTGTGGCTGAAATTGATGGATAAAATGAAGTTGTTGGAAGTTTCTCTTTATTTCTAAAATAGAGAGTGCTGATTATTTGAGCATTAGAACTGATTTTGAATGATTTTGCCTAAACTCTAATTTCAAAATGCTTAAATATGAGATTTGAATGTAGGGGAATAAGAATCTCAAAATTTTAGTTAATCTCATTATATGCTAGCATCATCATTATCATCACCTCCTTTCATCTCTTTCAACCCTACTCAATTCGAGTCTCATTATATGCCACCCTCACTACCATCCCTTTTCAACTCACCCACTCCTACTCAATTTGGATCGTTCATATCTTTACTTGATGATCTTGCACTATTTTTGGCTGAATACAACATTTATATTTTTAAACATGGTGGACTATTAAATAAAGTAAATGCTACCCTCCGACAATTGATTTCTTTATTTGAATTACCTTAATTTGATTTAAATATGTCAACTACATAGATGGATGAAACACTTGAATCTCAAGAAGAGGGGAACATACAATAACAACTACACCCACCACAATGTATGAGAAGGAGAACAAAATGTGGTATTAAAAGTTATTATTTGTAAGGTAAATTAATTTTCACTTTTCATTCATATAACTTAATCATTTGTTATTAATTTTTATAAACCTAATATCTATTTATTATTAATAATTTTTAATTTAATACAACCTTATAATAATTCCTTAATCATATTAGTAACTTTATGTAATTATTAACACTTTTCTCTCCAATTATTTACTCATCATTTTTTATTCAAATGATTATTAAATCATTAGACAAATCATTAATTTCATTTATTAGGGGTAGATGATGGGCTAGAGTTGAAGTTTAGAAATCGTTTGGTGTCATTAATTTTGTAAATTGTTTAATGCAAGGAGGATTTTATGTGTGTATTTTGGGAAATAATTCCCACGGTATAGCATTTTGGTGTTTTTTTATTGTTGTTATCTTTGTTTTTAAAAAAACCCAATATTGTTTATATTACATGGAATTTGGAGAATATAGCTTTTAGCTTGCTATGAATTTTATAATATATATTGATGATAATTTTTATACAGTTATAATATTTAAAAGATTGGAAAACATAGCTATTAGTCTATATAATTTTATCATACTTTGGCATAGGTCTCTATAATTTTTTTCATTATTCCAGGTTCTTCTAGTTTACTTCGTCTATAACATTAGTCCCTTTATTTTTCAGGATACCTAAAAAGGCCAAGAAATGTCACTAGCAATGTTAAATATATTAACATATAACTAATGCCATTAATTTGTGCTGAGGTAAAATTATAATTTAGCATATCAACAACATTGTCTGTCCCATCCTATTTCATGTTTCAATAACTCAATTTGTTGAATCATAAATCCATCTCAATACAAAGTTTAACTGCATTAATTACATGTTAGTATATTTAACATTGCCAGTGTCTCCTCATAATTCTTTTAGACATATTCAAAAATAAAGGATAAATATTGTAGACAAGATAAGTTAAAGGGACATGAAACAATGAAAAA